GAACTGGTGCATGATACTTTCATATGCTACTGCAGATACTCCGGTACATAACTCATGATGAGAATTTTCAGGGTTCAGTTAGTAAGCACCCTGTATGTCTTCTTTTTTTCTCAGTAAATTATACGTATACTGACATTTATGTCTGTCATCACAAAGGTCTGTTAGAATTAAATTGCTGGAAAAAAAACAAAACAAAACAAAAACCTTGTAAGTTAAGATAAATTTACTGGCAGGCTTAGGTTCTGTACCTTGTACCCTCATCTTCAATTCATGTAAATGTTAGCTTGTTTATCTATTTTAGGTGTGAAAGAAAAGAAATGTGGGCTGTAGTTATACAAGGCTGATTACTAGGGGTTCGTTTTGTTTTTAGGAAAACAGAGTCCTTTCTTCCTTTCTTTGTAGTCCTGTCAACTTTTTCTTACCTATTAGTGATTTTCACTGTTTGTATTTGTCCTTTGAGAGGATTTTATTTAAAACTCATAGAAAGAACGTTTTCAATGTAGTCTTTCACTGAGCTACATCCTTACAACTCTTTAATGTTCCTTTTCTCTGAAGGTTATCTTGACTTTGACATACAAAAAGGCATCTCTTTCCTCCATGTGTAGGATGCTTATATTGGAGAAAAATTAGATTTAGACTATGATATATTTTTCTAAACAATTTAATTATAGCTTATCAAGAGGGGGGAAAAATCACCTTTGTTCTTGTTTAGCCTAACAGATGGGTAGTTACTATTTGTACTGACTATTAGTAGTGACTACTAATCTACTACTCAAAAACTAGTCTCTAATGTTGGGGAAAACTACTGAAGCATTTCAACTTTCTTTTCTGAATTAGGGGTTACAGATATTTCTAACAAAGAAATTTAAATAGTTTCTTACTGTATAAACTATGTTTTTCAATTGTTAAGAGATGTGTTGTGTTTTAAATTTTCCAATCTTAAGTTTTTGACAATAGGTTTCGTGTCATTGACTTTCATAAAAAAGTAATTAAAGTTGATTTGATTATCTATAGAGAACTATTAAATTGATTTATAAACATGTGATTACATAAGGAAAAACAATATATTTAGGAAATTCTCTGCCCTGAAAGCCATCATAAGCTTTTCACTTTTTATTATAAGAAAAAATAATGGAACCAAACAACTTGCATGCGGTATGAATTTTCATTAAGATATAAAAATCTGGGATATGAACAATAATTCTTACCCTTAAATCATTAAGTAATTTTAGTGCTTTAACTTTTATACTTACTTAATGACATATAAAACGTTATGTTTTTGTTGAGCCTCTGCCTTTACAAAGGTAGGCAGAGCTATGATGATGTGGCACCTCAGAGGTTCTTTTCATGTCCGGGAAGTGATTAATTTTACACTGACATATGATTTGGATTTTAATCACTGGTGTCTTTTAGCACAGTAGATTACCCTAACGGGTCATGAGCAGTGCTTCAAGCTTAGCACTGGGAACTGTGATTACACAGAACCAAAATTCACCCAAGTAAATTGGGACAATGTTTCCTTTCTGACCATTGTTGAATTCTTCTATTGTTTCCAAGCAGTAGCCTTGGCAGAACTAAAATTGGTTGCCCTCTATATATGATGCATGGTGGTTGCCAAACATTAGCTATGATCAGTGACCCTGAGTCATCAGCCACTAAGTCAACATGCTGAGGCAACAGCTTGATGGAATACTCTATGACTTTAGACAGAAAATAGTAATACCACTAGTAAAATTGCTTGGATTTTTTTAAAAGCCTGCTTTCTAATTTGAATTTTTTAATAACTAAAATATTTTCCCCAAGAATGTTGATTTAAAACTATTTCATATTATATTTGGGGAGAAGGTAATTTCTACAAATATATCAGTTCCCCATGACATCAGGTTAGCACATTAAATTGTAAAGTTATGAATATCATGATTAAGATTTTTTTGTTTGTTTCTAAGGTTTAAGTTCTTTGGTGGTGAAGCAAGGTAAGGGTTACTGATGCTTAGATCCATTCTTAGTAAAATGAACTTCCAGTTCTAACAGGACACTTTAAAATTCAGTGAGCTTAACATAAGTGTAATCCAAGCAGGCATGCGTCTGCATAATTTGATTTTCTTCCCCCAAGTTTCACCTCAGCATTAAATTGTGTACATTGCGGAAAATAAGTGGAGAGAATTAAAGGGTTTTCAGCAGAATTAGAGGTTTTAGGAATATTGTTGAAATTTTTGCAAGTTGACCCTTTCCTTAAAGGTAGGGTGGTTAGAGAAAAAGTATAGTGCAAGATAGACTTTATAAACTTCCTGGAGTATAGGGTTTTGGTAATGGATATTTAGTGATACTACTAAAACTTAAGGAGACTTAGACATCTCTCTTTATTGCTCATATCTGTGTCAACTTTTATACAAGTAATAAAATTGAAAAATTGTAGGAACATAGGCTGAGTGGGACATATTTTGTCACTCTCTTACTTTGCTTATTAACAACAGGCTAGATGTTTTTCTGAGGAGACAGAACATAAAGGAAAGAGTAAGTAGGTTTATTTGGCCACAATTAGCCTTCTCTTTTGATAGGTACTTGTTTGATGTCTTATCTTTTTCCTTGCCTTCCAAAGATGTTGACAGTGGGTGTTTCCTCGGCATTTTGAGATTACTGTTTCTTGATATCCATTTATGTAAGATGATTTCTGGATGTGATTTGCTTTGGAGCATATATGCATATATGTTGTTACCTTTATGGCAGAATCACTTCCTCTTTTAGAGATCAGTATGATTGATTTTAAGAGAAATTTTAGCAATTGTGTACTCAGGTGTATCAATTTAGTATGGAATGACTAATACAGAAATGTGTAACAAGCCATTAGTCAGCTCTTAATGAAATTCTTGTAATACTTCCTTGGCTAATCCCTGTAGATTTTAATTGACAATTTAACTTGTATTCATAATATTATTTCTATCTACTTCTGCTACAGATACTTTCTTTGACCATTTCTCATATATTACTAATATTTATGTATTTTATGACTTAAGCATACTTTGCACAAATGTGGATGAAATGCATGTTGTAGCAGATAAATTAGTAAGAAGGTAAAGATCGCTTTAGGGGCCTTTTGAGGTTTTACTGAGGAGAGATTGTATCAAATGGTATCTTTTCCATAAGCACCAGTGTGGAAGACAGCTTCTAAATTCTTAGTGAGTTATGTAAGTCTCCATAAACTCCAGCCTGGTTGTATTAGGAAGCTTCATTTATATTTCAGATAGGCCTGGAGCATATTTCTTCAAATACATTTTTTTCTTTAATGGTTGTACATAATTTTTTGTTGTTGTTTTCTAGGTCTTACTCTGTAAGTAAATTTAACAGGCATAATAGGTTCATGTTGAGTAATATTTACTGTTCTGAAGCCATCTTGGTAATATTTTTGTCAAAAGTAATTGTTTAATACAGTATAAATAGTTGTCAAATTAATAAGCATTTGTTTATATTGCTGAGATATACAGAAAATAAATTGGTGAATCCCATTGTATAACAAATTTCTAAGGATGGTTTAATGGATTAAACTACAACCAAAAAAAAAAATTAATAAATCCTGGGTCAATCATTACTTTCTCTAGCTTCATTTAGCCAACTGCCTTCATTTCCTTCTACCTTGGCATTGTATTTTTCAAGTTCTTCTAAGGGGAACTTAACATTTTACAACAAATCTCTAAAGTGTTTCCTTCCTTCCTTCTGAATTGTGTGATCATTTCTATGCCAGATGACATTTGGGTGTCCTTTTTTATTTTACATATTGTAGCTAGTGACTTCAACCCCCACTCCCATACATACACTGTGGAGAAGGGTCGAAGTAACAGAAGCAGAAGTAACAGAGGCATGGAATAGGGGGAGAAACTTAGAATTTCAAGGACGATTCCAGACACCAACCATTTGGATCAACAGCGAATCTTGAAATGTTGCCAAGGGAGTGCACATGTCAGCACTCCAGTACTATAGTACTACAGTAGTGATGCTCTGGTGTGAGGGGCAGGGAGGAGCAGAGTAATGTCTCACTTAGGTTGTTTCTTACAAAGCTTTACTACCAGAATAAGGACAAAATTTACATCGTACTTTTATTTCTGCCAAGATTAATTTCATATTTATCCCATTTTAATTTAAGCTGTTATTAAAGAAAATCTAATGATTTGAACTAGTTGAAATAATCATGGTACCTTATGTTGCTACAAACATTTCATATTTCATAGTGTACTTTGCAAATAAATTATCAACTGACTCGAGTACAATTCTTTCTGTTATCTGTTTTTGTTGTTGTTTTTGGCTAGGATATTGAGTAAATTAGGCAAATATACAACATAAATTATTAGATTCTGTAAGCTCTAGATAGCCACTTAAACTATTTATATTGCATTAGAGTCCTTAAAACTAATTATTCTGAATGAAAATGAGTCGTTGCTTAATTTAATCTCTAAGCCAATTTAAATATTAATAGCGAGTATCTTGAT